ACAATAATACCATCATAGTAAGGGACTTTAATACACCACTGACATCACTGGATAAATCCTCTAGACAAAAAACCGGCAAAGAAACAGCAATCCTAAATGACTCACTAGATCAGATGGACCTAATTGACATCTTCAAAACATTTCACCCCAAAGCCATGAAATACACGTTCTTCTCAAGTGCTCATGGGACATATTCAAAAATAGACCGCATACTGGGTCACGAACAAAGTCTCCCCAAATTCAAGAAGATTGAAATCATACCAAGCATCTTCTCAGACCACAAGGCCATAATATTAGAAATAAAGTACAACAAAAACAACCCAAAATACTCAAACACTTGGAAGTTGAATAGCATGTTATTAAATATTGATTGGGTTACCAATGAGATCAAAGACGAAATTAAAAACATCCTGGAAACTAATGACAATGAAAACACAACAATCCAAAACCTATGGGACATAATGAAAGCAGTCCTGAGAGGGAAGTTTATAGCTCTACAGGCCTATCTCAAAAAACAAGAAAAAACGATAGTAAATCATCTAAATCTACATCTCAAAGAGTTAGGAAAAGAGCAGCAAGAAAAGCCCAGAGTGAGCAGAAGGAAGGAGATAATAAAGATTAGAGCAGAAATAAATGACATAGAGATTAAAAAAAACAATACAGAAAATCAATGAAACCAAGAGCTGGTTCTTTGAAAGGATGAACAAGATTGATGAACCTCTAGCCAGGCTCACAAAGAAACAAAGAGACAGGACCCAAAAAAACAAAATCAGAAATGAAAGAGGAGAAATAACAACAGACCCCACAGAAATACAAATGATTGTTAAAAAATACTATGGACAACTTTACTCCAAGAAACTAGACAACCTGGAGGAAATGGGCATATTGCTAGAAAAATACAACATTCCAAAATTCAATCAGGAAGAATCTAAAAATCTCAACAGGCCAACAACTATGGAAGAAATTGAAGCAGTCAACAAAAAGCTTCCATCAAACAAAAGCCCAGGACCAGATGGCTTCACAGGGGAGTTTTACCAAACATTCAAGGAAGAACTAAAACCTATCCTCCTCAGACTATTCCAAAATATTCCAGAGGAAAGAACACTTCCCAACTCATTCTATGAAGCCAGCATCACCCTAATGCAAAAACCAGGTAAAAAACAACATAATGAAAGAGAATTACAGGCCAATATCCCTCATGAACATAGATGCCAAAATCCTCAACAAAATCTTAGCAAATCAGATCCAGCAGTACATCAGAAAGATCATACACCATGACCAAGTAGGATTTATCCCAGGGATGCAAGGATGGTACAATATCCGCAAATCAATAAACGTGATACATCACATAAACAAACTGAAAGAAAAAAACCACATAGTCATATCAATTGATGCAGAAAAAGCATTTGACAAAATTCAACACCCATTTTTGATAAAAACTCTCAGCAAGGTGGGAATAGGAGGATCATACCTCAACATAATAAAAGCCATATATGACAAACCCACAGCTAACATCATACTCAATGGACAAAAACTAACACCATTTCCCCTAAGAACAGGAACAAGACAGGGATGCCCATTCTCACCACTCCTGTTCAACATAGTACTGGAAGTATTAGCTATTGCAATTAGACAAGAAGAAGAAATAAAGGCATCCAAATTGGAAAAGAAGAAGTAAAACTGTCCTTATATGCAGATGACATGATATTATACATAAAAAACCCTAAAGACTCCATCAAAAAACTATTAGGCTTAAAAAATGAGTTCGGCTATGTAGCCGGATACAAAATTAATGCCAAGACATCTATGGCATTTCTATACACCAATAGTAAACTTTGAGAAAGAGAGATTATAAAAACAATCCCATTTACCATCTCACCAAAAAAATTAAGCTACCTAGGAATAAACTTAACTAAAGAGGTAAAAGACCTCTACTCAGAAAACTACAGGACGTTGAAAAAAGAGATAGAGGAAGACATAAACAGATGGAAGAACATAACTTGGTAGAATCAACATCATTAAAATGTCCATACTACCCAAAGAAATCTATAAATTCAACGCACTTACCATTAAAATACCAACGGCATATTTTACAGACCTAGAATGAACTCTCCAAAAATTCATCTGGAATATATAAAGACCCTGAATAACTGCAGTGATCCTGAGAAAGAACAAAGTAGGTGGGATCTCAATACCAGATATCAAGCTGTATTACAAAGCCACTGTTCTCAAAACTGCCTGGTACTGGCACAAGAACAGACATATAGATCAATGGAATAGAATAGAGAGCCCAGAAATCGGCCCAAACCAATATGCTCAGTTAATATTTGACAAAGGAGGCAAGAACATACAATGGAGCCAAGATAGTCTCTTCAATAAATGGTGGTGGGAAAATTGGACAGATATATGCAAGAAAATGAAACTAGACCACCAACTTACACCATACACAAAAATAAACTCAAAATGGATAAAGGACTTAAATGTACGAGGGGAAACCATAAAAATCCTAGAAGAATCCAAAGGCAACAAAATCTCAGACATATGCTGAAGCAATTTCTTCACCGATACAGCTACTAGGCCAATGGAAACTAAAGAGAAAATGAACAAATGGGACTACATCAAAGTAAAAAGCTTCTGTACAGCAAAAGAAACCATCAACAAAACAATAAGAAAGCCCACTGCATGGGAAAACATATTTGCCAATGTTATCACCAATAAGGGTTTAATCTCTAACATTTATAGGGAACTCATACAACTTAACAGAAGGAAGATAAAAAATCCAATCAAAAAATGGGCAAAAGACCTAAATAGACACCTTTCAAAAGAGGACATTCAGAAAGCCAAGAGACATATGAAAACATGTTCAGTCACTAATCATCTGAGAGCTGCAAATCAAAACAACAATGAGGGACCATTTCACACCTGTCAGACTGGCTATCATCAACAAATCCACAAATGACAAGTGCTGGAGAGGATGTGGAGAAAAGGGAACACTCGTGCACTGCTGGTGGGAATGCAGACTGGTGCAGCCACTATGGAAGACAGTGTGGAGTTTCCTCAAAAAACTAAAAATGGAACTCCCATTTGACCCTGTGATCCCACTTCTAGGAATATATCCCAAGAAACCAGAAACACCAATCAGAAAGGATATATGCAACCCTATGTTCATAGCAGCACAATTCACCATAGCTAAGATCTGGAAACAGCCTAAGTGCCCATCAGTAGATGAATGGATTAGAAAACTGTGGTACATCTACACGATGGAATACTATGCTGCTGTAAAAAATAAGGAACTCTTACCATTTGCAACAGCATAGATGGAATTGGAGAGCATTATGCTAAGTGAAATAAGCCAGTAAATGAAGGAAAGATGCCACATGATCTCACTCATTTATGGATAATAAAGACCATTATAAACTTATGAGCAAAAATAGATACAGAGGCAGAGCTGCCTCGAACACACTGTCAAACTACAGCGGGAAGGTTCGGGAAGGCTGGGGGGCTGGGGGTAAGAGATCAACTAAAGGACTTGTATGCATGCATATAAGCATAACCAATGGACGTAAGACACTGGGGGTTAGGGGAGGCCAGAGGATTGTCGAGGGTGGGGGGAAAAAAGGAGACTAATGTAATACTCTTTGTAATACTTCAAGCAATAAAAAAAATTTAAAAAAATTAAAAATAGCCATTAAATAAGTGTTTCTTCATTATCTTGAGAGCTTTGAGGGGACAGTTATTCTCTTGGCCTAGTACCTCCAGGCTTGTTGGCACTTGATAGCTGCCAGATTGATATGTCATTTGTTATTTATTTCAGGTACAGAAACATTGAGTGGTTCTTAACCTCCCACCTTATGCAGTGGGAAGATTCTAACCCTAGAGTACTTGCCTATGTCTAACTTTTGACATTTACTATATGTATGATTTTAGTGAAGCTGCTTGACAACCCCCCCTCCCCTGACATCTATGCTCTTGTTTGTAAAATGAGACTTACATGGTAGTGGTTCTGCATAACAAATAATTTGTTACATAGAAAATGCCTGGTGCCAGAAGCCGGTCCATCCTTGCTGCTTGACATGTTCGCTGCAGGGAAGAAACATCTGCACAGCATATGTTTTAAGGGACCTGGCGTATATGACATACTGTTCTTAATATGTTTGCTCCCCCTCTTAGTGCTATGTGTTTTAAACAAGACCACCTCCCCAAGAAAGATTGTTTCCCCAGGTGAGGATTTTTTCCCTCGAGTTAGGGATTAACAGAACTAAGGAAGAGAATAAATCAGTGAAACCCCCTAGTGTTACAGAAATACCATGTACTACTTATGAAGTACTTGGACTAAGACTGTTTGCAATAAATTTGGGACTTGTTGGGTCCACACCCCAGGGGTCTGCCCACCAGGGAAAGCACCAAAGCCTATACCCCTGGAGACCCACCAACACAGGGCAGTCCCAGGGAAGGCAAGCTGCAAGGCTGGGAGGACATAACCTTTACTGGGTAAGATAATCTCCTTCAGTCACTTCCTTGTAGCCTATCAGTAGAGCAGTGACCTTGGAATAGCCCTTATAATGGAACACAGAGATTAACCTAGACAGAATTAAACTCAACAGAACTAGATTAACAAACGCCCTAAACTTTGGAATAGAATTGATAGGATTAAACTCAACAGAACTAGCTTAACAAACGCCCTAAATTTTGGAATAGAATTGATAGGATTAAACTCAACAGAACTAGATTAACAAACGCCCTAACCTTTGGAATAGAATGGATGGGATTAAAATCAACTGGTATAAATACAGATGTAACAGCACAATAGAGACATAACCTGGTGGGAGAACCTGGCTATGCTGATCAACTGAATGCTGTCTCTGTGTCATTCCTTCTTTGACTCCATCCACACCTTTGGGAACCCCTAGACCTGCTGGGGTTGGACCCCAACAGCCTGGCACTTAATAGCTATTACTTAAAAAAGAGTTGTCTTGTAGGCGGCTTTGTGGGAGCTTGGCATGGCGGTACCCACGGCTGCCATGGGGCCGGGCTCCATGGCCCACTGGTGCTCCGTGAGCAGCAGCGCGATGCGCTACGTGCTGGGCATGCAGGAGCTGTTCTGGAGCCACAGCAAGACGCACGAGTTCCCGGCGCACGGTGCGAAGGTGCACTCAGTGGCCTGGAGCTGCGATGGGCGGCGTCTGGCCTCTGGGTCCTTTGACAAGACGGCTAGCGTCTTCTTGCTGGAGAAGGACCGGTTGGTCAAGGAAAACAATTACTGCGGACATGGCTACAGCGTGGACCAGCTGTGTTGGCATCCAAGTAACCCTGATCTCTTCGTCACAGCGTCTGAAGACAAAAGCATTCGCATCTGGGATGTGAGGACTACCAAATGCATCGCTACTGTGAACACTAAAGGGGAGAACATTAATATCTGTTGGAGTCCTGATGGGCAGACTATAGCCGTAGGCAACAAGGATGATATGGTGACCTTTATTGATGCCAAGACACACAATTTGAAAGAGGAGAAGCAGTTTAAGTTTGAGGTCAATGAAATCTCTTGGAACAATGACAATGACATGTTCTTCCTGACAGATGGCAATGGTTGCATCAACATCCTCAGCTACCCAGAGCTGAAGCCTGTGCAGTCCATCAAGGCGCACCCTTCTAACTGCATCTGCATCAAGTTTGACCCCACGGGGAAGTACTTTGCCGTAGGAAGTGCAGATGCTTTGGTCAGCCTCTGGGATGTGGATGAGTTAGTGTGTGTTCGGTGCTTTTCCAGGCTGTGTTGGCCTGTGAGGACCCTCAGTTTCAGCCACGATGGGAAAATGCTGGCTTCAGCATCAGAAGATCACTTTATTGACATTGCTGAAGTAGAGACAGGAGACAAGCTATGGCAGGTGAAGTGTGAGTCCCCGACCTTCACTGTGGCTTGGCACCCAAAAAGGCCTCTGCTGGCATTTGCCTGTGATGACAAAGATGGCAAATGTGACAGTAGTCGGGAAGCAGGAACTGTGAAGCTGTTTGGGCTTCCCAATGATTCCTGATTGGGGGGACCTGGTGTAGGGGGACAGTGAACTAAAATTAGTTTGGTCTGTCTCTCCGAGTTGGTGTGCAACTACAGTATTTGTACATTGTTATAAATTATAAAAGTCTTTTTTTCAGGCTGCCCCCCCCCCAAAAAAAAAACAAGTACAAATGGGAGGAAAACGGGGTCACACCTGGCTGGGTTTAATCATAATACATTGTTTTTCTAAGAAAAAAAAAATTACCATATGAACCAGGAATTCTACTTCTGGATATATACACAAAAGAGTCGAAAGCAGGAACTCAAACAAATACTTGTACATTGTGTTTATAGCAGCATTATTCACAATAGGTAAAGTGTGAGCACAACTAAGATGTTCATCAACAAATGAGTGAACAAATAAAACAGAAAATGCAATGTAATTCAGCCTTAAATAAGGAAGGATAATTGCTACCACGTGGATGAACCTTAAAGACATGCTAAGTGAAATAAGCCACATACAAATGTTCTAATATTGTATGATTCCACTTACACGAGATACTGGAGTAGCCAAATTTTCAGACAGACTTAGACGATGACTGCCAGAGGCTGACAGGGAGAGAAAATTTACTTTGGAAAGAAAAAAGTTCTAGATGTAGAGAGTGGTGATGGTTGAACATCAATGTGAATGTTTTTAATGTGACCAATGTACATTTAAAAGTAGTTAAATGGTAAATTTTATACTTTGTATGTTTTACCACAATAACACAATGAGAGTAGTCATGATAATTTCCTTAAGAAGCCATTTCAAGTGCTAGGTGAATCACATATGAAACAAGTTCTCTAATAACAGCAAAAGTAACCCAGCAATAGATAGAAAACCTGAACAGAGCGACAGAGAAAGTAAAGAAAATTGTTAGAGATTACCCACAGCAATGAAGGTCATCAGTGCGAGAGGAATTTTCTATGTTATTCTTTGAAGATTGCACACCGTATCATCTATTCTTGACATGGAGCAGGAGGAAAGTTACTGATAATTCTACAAAGTAATGAACACTTCAGAGCCTAAAACTGATAAAGTTTCCACAAAACCAGAAAGAAATTGACCTCAGACATAAATGTGAAAATGTAAACAAAGTCCTGTAAGTTAAGGAGAACATGAGGACAGTAATAACTCAAATTGGGAATTCGAGCATGTTGTGATATTAAAAAATTCATGAATATCACAAAATAAATATCAGTAATTTAAAGAAAATAAATTATATCAATTTTATATATAAAAGAAAGTCGGTTAGTCCCAAACTCATGTCAATTAATAAATTTTTCTTTAAAGCATAAGATTCCTCTTTTCCAAGTTATTTTCTTTTTTCAAAATGGAAATGTCTTTATTTTCTAAAGATAACAAGCTAACTAAACATCGTTTGTAAAACTGTGCTGACACAGATGTGCAACTGGAGTGGGTCCACAGCCACCCGGTCTTCCGGTTGGTGCCTGAGTTTCTACAGGTGGAGATACCTATTCAGCTCCTGTGCCAGGTGTTTAAGCACCAGGGACAGATTATCTAGGACCTGGGTAGAGGCAGGAGCACATGCAACAGACTGTGGAACTAAGAGAAGCCCAGAAGCATAAGCAGGTGCTGACGGTACGAAGGTGGCCCTTTTGCTGATGATACTGTTCTGCCACTGCCAGAAGCTAAACGAACAAAGGCAAGTGCTTTCTTGGTCTGTTGATGATCTTGCCAGAAGAATAAATAGAGGCAATTGTCAAAGACCAACTCCAAGCTACCCAAGCTGCTAGTAAACTTCTTTCTAAAGAATATATCCCCATCACTCTCTCCATTAAAAGTATAAATTAAACTGATTTGATTGCAAAATGTGTGTGTGTGTGTGTGTGTGTGTGTGTGTGTGTGTGTGTGTACCTTTGGGACAGGATCATCTGTTTACATTTGCTTAGGCATTTACCAAGGCTATTTCTGGATCACTGTATCAAAACAAGGCTGTAGAGAACTCTGACAGCCTTCTTGTTCTGTAGGCATCTCCTGGAGCTCAGGTCAATGAATAAACCAGTTAGACTCTAGGAAACTGTAGATAATGCAAAAATTCTGATATGATTATCAAGTTTGTGTCAATTGATCCTTTCTCGGATTTCCTGTATTTCCTCATATGTCAATTTGAGAATGTGATTATGATCTTGCCTAGACATTTTTAAATGTTTGTTGTTACAAAATTATTACTGATCTCTCATTAGAAACTGTTAAGCAGTTTCCTCTTTTCAATTTTCCTGTATCTAATAATTATTTTATTTTTCCTTCTTTTTTCTTTATTTTTTTCAAATGCATACCCAGCAATCCTACATTAATAATGGTCTAAACAAACAAATTAAAATAGATCTGAAAACAAAAAATCATTTCAGTTAGTAAGCTCCTGGGATGTAGGAAATGTTTAAGTCACAGGAAACATTGCCACTGAGACCAATGAACAAATACAGGTTGTATTAGATGCAAGGGAATCGAGAGCATTTCACAGCCAATTAACAAAAAACTAATATCCAGCAAGAAGCTGTGTGGTTGTCTGAAAGTACAGCTGGCTGTCAAGATCAGATCCAGCAAGTTGTCAAATATGACCCCATCCCCTGATAATGTTCAAGAGAAAATTGTAAGAATAATATTAATTTCAAATGCAAAGAACATTTGAACGACAATATATATTTTCTCCATAGAGGCACAATTATACACTACTGATAAACCTTATCTCTAAGAAAGATATCAAAATTGCTCCTATTGTTAAGGACACCATTTGAAAACTCTTTCAAGTGGATGAGGAAATAGCTAAAATTGAGAAAACTAGGTGCTGTGATTAAAGAGAGTGGAAGACTAGGCAAAATGGAAGGTCTTTAATCCATGAAAACAAAGCTGTACTGAGAACCTTGAAAGGCTAATTGAAAACTTTTTTACTATATAGAGAGTAGACAATGGAACTACTCATCTACAAACTTTTAGATTTTTGTAACCAAGGCATAAGCTCTTTTTTGATATGAACTTGTTCAACTAACATTTAATTAATTTGAAAAAAGAAAAAAACGAGGAAGAAAAAGAGAAAGGTAGTTTATAGGGAAAAAATCAACAATACAGAAATAGAAAAGTAGAAAAATAGAAAATAAAAGTATGTCAGAATTTATCTTTTCTGCATTTTAAGAGAGAAACTTTTAGTAATGATATATGTGTGTGTTTAACTTATATTGTATATATTTATATATTTATACATTATAGCTAACATATTTTCCATATATAATACAGTAATTTTTAAAAAATTGTCTACATAAAAATAGGTTATATCATAGATGATGTTCTCTAATGTTATTTTTTATTTAAAAATATATCATGGGCTTCTGATGGTGGAAAAATAAAATTGATCTACTTTTTCCTATTCCTCTCATTAAATACACCTAAAAACACTAGATATGCTATATAAAACAATACAAAAAGACTAAGATATAGAAGTAAGAATGCAGACTGGCTAAGAACTTCAGGACCCAATAACAACAAGGTGTTTTTTCTGGTTTGTTTCCATTTTTGTTTTTGTTTTTGTTTTTATTTTTTTCTAATATGGCCTGGACTTGGAGCTGGAAGCCCTAACAAAAGCTTATTCTAGGATAAGATGGTTTCATTGGAGATTTTGACTAAAGCTTTAAAGAAGAATTAATACCAATTCTACTTCATTTTTCTAGAAAATGGAAAAAAGAGGACACTTCCCAATTTATTATATAGAGTTGGTATTATTTTGATATCAAAACCAGACAAGAATAATAAAAAAAGGAAAAAGACACGTAACTCTTATGAATATCAATGCAAGAATACTTAACAAAATGTTAGCAAATAGAATTCAGCAATATACAGAAAGACTAAGTGGGATTTATTCCAAGGATGGAAAGCTGTTTTCAATATTCAAAAGGAAACACACTAATAGGCTAAAGAACAAAAATCACATGATAACATCAATCAATACAGAAAAAAGCATCTGACAAAATTTAATACCCATTCATTATAAAATCTCTCAGAACAATAGAAACATGGGGTCATAAGGAACATCTTCTAAAAACCTGGAGCTAATATTATACTAATGGTGAGAGACTAAATGTCTCTCCTTAAGATTGGAAAACAAGGCAAGAATACCTGCTCTCATCACTTTATTCAACTTGTGCTTGAATTTCTAGCCAGTGCAATAGAACAGGAAACAGAAATGAAAGGCATAGGTGTTGGGCAGGAAGAAATAAAACTGTTTCTATTAGCAGATGACATAATTGTCTCTATAGAAAATCCCAAGAAATCTAAAAACAAACAAACTCCTAAAAATAAATCCACTAAGGTCACAAGATACAAAATAAGCAAACAAATCAATTGTATTTCTGTATACTACAATTAACATGTGGCCATTGAAATTAAAAAGATGAAACCATTTACAATCTTTAAAAATATTATAAACTTAGGTGTAAATCTAGCAAAACATATGTGTACAATCTACAAAACACTGATGAAAAAAATTACCAAATTTCTAAACAAAGACACATACTTGTTCATGGATTGGAAGACTCTCTATAGTAACAGTGTCAGATATGATGCAATACATAAGAAATTCCCAGCAGGGGTTGTTTTTTTTTCTAGATATAAACAAAATCATTTCAAGCCTTATATATAAAGTTCCAGGCTCTAGAATAGCTGAAATGATTTTGAAAAGAATAACAAAATGAGGGAAGTTAGTCTACCCAATTTTAAGACATTACAGAACTATAGTATGAGGTATTGGCAAAGGCACAGACACATAGCTCAACAGAAAAGAATACAGGACCCCAAAATGCACCCATACACATATACCTGTTTTTGAAAAAAGTACAAAAGCAATTCCATGAAGGAACAGTAGAAATTTTAACAAATGGTGCTGGACCAAATGGATAAATGTTATGCCCAGAGTTCGGGGTCCCCAAGAATCAACCACCAGGGAGCTTCCTCCATGCAAAAGCAGAGAAAAGCAGAGATCTTTATTC